TTWWTTYYTKKTTWAAAACTTGCTGGCCTGTGAGACATTTTATTTTCTGATTTTGACAAACAGCAGCCACTCAAAGACCTCCAGGTTTGAATGGCAGAGGAGATAGCCAATCAGTGTGCAGCATCTGAGCGAAAGCAGGAGGTTTTAGTTAATCTAGATTATTTGATGTTTAGAAGAAACACTAGAGGGCAGTTCAACAGCTCCTGACCTGAAGCTTCTGTAAAAACAAAATGAYGCCAGAAGAACTTTATGAAACGTGATTAACCCTTTCTTTCCCAGCATCTTTGAAGCATCACAGTTTAAATATGAGCGTTGATGTAGAACTGTTTTGTGTAAAAATTAAAAAAAAACTTTTAGTTTTTGTTGTTTCTGTACAGAAAAAAAACTATTTGTTTTTGGAAARATGTTTGATTCAATGTGAAAATTTTGGGGTTTTTAAACGTCTGAATGTTGTGATAACCACAAAATCTAAAACTATTAAACAGTTTGGAATATAAACGTGTTCATCTGAACATCTTTCACAAATCAAATGTCAGTTTTACCCACTGCAGCCTCACGAGCTGCAGCTGAAAATCAGTCTTASTCTGGAGCTAAAATGAGACAAAACTGTTGAGCTGAAAAAACTTTACAAACATTTTTATGTCCTGAAGAAACGCCTGAACTTCATGTTCTGATCCATTTGCAGATGTTGACAGCTGGATCAGAGACCAGTATTTGGTTAAAGGTCTTTGGGTCGGTCCAGTTTCTGCTCTGTGATGGKCTCAGTTTCCTGCGGCGCTGAATAAATTCAGACCCGTGTGTAACGTGACTCAGATCAGCAGAACATCTGTGAATAAATTCACACTTCCTGAGAACAAAAACACCAAACATCTGAGCGGCGTTTTCACGTTTCCACGTCACGTTTTCCATCAAATCCGACAAATCAGAGCAGAGTTTACTTTGATTAAACAAAATGTTGGAAGTTTCAGGATCTGGAGTTTCTGAAGTTTCACCATGTACAGTGGGGTACGAAAGTTTGGGCAGCCTTGTTAATTTTCCTGATTTATCTTTATAAATCATTAATTGTTTGGATAAAAAATATCAGTTAAATATATCATATAGGGGACAAACAGTGATATTTGAGAAGTGAAATGCAGTTGATATGATTTACAGAAAGTGTGCAATAATTGGTTAAACTAAATTAGGCAGGTGCACAAATTTGGGCACCGTGTTCGTTTTATTGATTTCAAACCTTTAGAACTAATTATTGGAACTTAAATTAAGTTTGTTAAGTTCAGAGACCCTTGACCTCCATACACAGGTGACTCCATTTATGAGAAAGGGTATTTAAGGGGGGCAATAGTAAGTTTTTATCCTCTTTCATCTTCTCTGAAGAGTGGCACCATGGGAGTCTGAAAACAAGTTTCAAATGATCTGAAAACAAAGATTGTTCAGCGTCATGGTTTAGAGGAAGGATACAGAAAGCTATCTCAGAGATTTCATCTTTCAGTCTCCACTGTGAGAAAYATTGTGAGAAAATGTTAGACCACAGACACAGTTCAAGTGTAGGCTCCAAGTGGCAGACCAAGACTAATCTGGAATAAACAGAAGTGAAGGATGTTGAGAAGAGTCAGAGTCAACCCACAGACCAGCACCAAAGACCTACAAACATCATCTTGCTGCTGATGGAGTCACTGTGCATCGTTCAACTATTCAGCACACTTTACACAAGGAGATGCAGTATGGGAGAGTGATGCAGAGGAACCCTTGTCTCCGCCCACATCACAAACTAGAGGTCTCAGAGACAGTCCCGGACCTGTGGACAGGTGTAGAGGTCTCAGAGACAGTCCTGGACCTATGGACAGGTGTAGAGGTCTCAGAGACAGTCCTGGACCTATGGACAGGTCTAGAGGTCTCAGAGACAGTCCCGGACCTGTGGATAGGTCTAGAGGTCTCAGAGACAGTCCCGGACCTGTGGACAGGTCTAGAGGTCTCAGAGACAGTCCCGGACCTGTGGACAGGTCTAGAGGTCTCAGAGACAGTCCCGGACCTGTGGACAGGTCTAGAGG